GAAATCTCGCATTTAACAGGAGGGGATGGGCGGGGTTACAAAAATCTTGTACTAGGGCTGTACCCCTAACGTTTTAGCCATTTAACAAAAAAAAAACATTAATTTTTTAATATAGGTCATTTACAGAAATGATATGAAGTCCGAACTGGGGTCCTAAAATCTTAAAATAGAAAGCGTACAAAATGAAATTACCCTAATTGTGTTGCAAATAGTTAAATTGAGGATCTGTTCAAGCCGCAGCGCTCCCTGAAATTGTCCTGACCTTATTTTGAAATAATGGTAAAGCAGAAAATATTGATTTTGATTTATTAAGCAGAGATCTAGATTATGCACAACTCAAGTCCAAAAATCTTAAACTACGACTGAACCCATTATTTCCTGTACCATCAGAATGCATTTGAAATCTCCCCCTATTTTGCAGTTTTTGGTGGAAATTTTGGCCCTTTGATCCGAATCCGTGGATCAGCCTTTTTTTTGGATCCGGATCCAAGAATCCAAAATCTAACGGATCTGGATCTAAAGCAGTCTCCAATGAAATTGTTTGCATTAGTATTTTCTAAAATTTTAAGTAAAATTTGTTTTTATCAATTAACAATTTCTTAGAGAGGATTTTTAAGACTCCCCTCCCCCTCTCCTAGCGTGTTGTAGCCGCAGCGGCCTGCCCTAGACGCTGCGCTGGGCACAGAAATTGACCTAACTCTCAAATTATTAATCTTCTTCTGTTCATTCCGATTTTTTAGTCCATCTTAATTCAATCCTGTTTATCTGAAGGAATACGTTTATAAAGAATAATTAAAGCTAAAAATATGCGTTTTTAAATTGTTCCATGGTAACACACATTTTAAGATGATAGAACTTTCTAATATCCATATTTGGCGCGGTTTCCAAGCTACAAAACAGCTGATCTGTCATTGAAGGTTAAATAAGAAAGCTTCAGCTGCCTAAACTCCCGTTCCCCCCGTCCATGTTTAAGCCTCCATCTTGCTTTCTCACTGACGTGAATCTGAAGTCCTGGAGCAAGGCTGAACATTGATCAGTCTTGAGCGGGACACCGGTTTATATTGTTGCATTTAGGTAGCAAATCTATATGGTGATAAGATACTAGCCATGTTTAATCAATAACATCTGGATGCCACTTGTTTTAACTAGTTTTATTATTATCCTAGACATTCTTATAATCTTATCATGCTTGGCAATATCAATATTCATTCTTCCAAGATTTCTTTTAATGATTTATTCATTAAATCTTAAAATATTTTTTTTCAGGACTAAGAACTAACTCCAACATGGGTGATAAGAAAGCACAGAAGCTTGGATTTGTCGAGAGCTTTATGCTCTCCGGTGTCGCCGCCGGTGTGTCCAAGACCGCCGCCGCTCCCATTGAGCGTGTCAAGCTCCTTGTCCAGAACCAGGACGAGATGATCAAGCAGGGAAGACTGGACAAACCCTACACTGGTGTTATTGACTGCACAACCCGTGTGCTCAAGACTGAGGGAGTCTACCCCTTCTGGAGAGGTAAAAAATTGTTTTCCGACAGAAGATTATTAAGTGGTCTTCTATCATACAATTGGCACCGTTTGTATCCTTCTCATATGAAATGTGGAGGAAATTAATGATGTGTTGGGAGGTTCAAACCCTTTGATGCAGAAATCGTACTCTGTTAAAAAATGGATATTTCTGGTTTTTGATTGGACAAAGGGATATTTTATTAAATGCATGCGGGTTACTTAAAATTGACAACTCTGATAACTAATGAAAAAAATCTTTCCTCTAATTATTTTTATGTTTATTTTTGTTAAGGAAACTTGGCTAACGTCCTCCGTTATTTCCCCACCCAGGCTCTCAACTTCGCCTTCAAGGATACCATCAAGGCCTTGTTCAAGACCCCCAAGGACGCCTCTGACCTCCGCAAGTTTGGAACCAACATCGCTAGCGGTGGATTCGCCGGTACCTTGTCCCTCACAGTCGTATACTCCCTCGATTACGCCCGTACCAGGTAGTTCATTAAGTAATGCCTGTCATTCCTTCAAATTTTAAACTTTTTACGAATATTTGAAAATCAAACGGGATTTCTTCAGTTGAAACTGGATTTTCCCAGCTTATTTTTGCATTGGCTGCCATTAAATCTTAAAGAGTCTTTAATTTTTTTGCACTTGCTGGCATTTAATCTTTTTTAGCGTCTTAATTTTTTTGTTTTGAAATATTTTTGAAAAATGCCTAGTAATTAATAAATTAAATTTTTTATGAAATTGTTTGGTTAAAACTAACTAATAATTAGGTTGGCCAACGACTCCAAGGGTAAGGGTGGAGAGAGACAGTTCAATGGTCTTATTGATGTCTATACCAAGACCATCAAGACTGACGGTATTGCTGGACTTTACAGAGGATTCGTTATCTCTGCTGTTGGTATCTTTATCTACAGGTAAATTTTTTATTGTTAGAAAAAGTTAAGATCGAATGAAGTTTTGGTTGAACTTCAATTTTTTTTATTTAATTAATATTTTTATTTAAAGTTTTTAATTTCTAAACCTGTTTGATTGATTAAGCAAAATATCTCGCTGAAATATTCTGTCGGTTATTTAAAGGCCTTTACTATTGATCCTTGGTGTAGGGCTTCTTTTATGATAGAAAGACGAGGGGTTTTAAATCTAAATTTAATCATCGTTTCTTAATATCCCATTTTATTATATAGTTTAAGAATTTTCTGTTCCCCCTTGGATTCTTGTTTAGCTTTCTCACAACCCTTTAAAACTTTAAGACCTAACTAAGCATTAAGCCTGGGCTAAACTATGGATCAACCCCACTTGTATATAAATCATACTAATTTTAACAACTAAGGTCAATTTGAAATGCCATATCGAAATTGAAATGCATTTTTTTTCTGGGATAGAGGGAAAGGTTTAACTTATTTAATTTATTCCGCAAATGTGGTTTGTGTTTCTTGGCATTCCAGATATAAAAATCTGTTCTGTTCACTCTGATTTTCCTCCCATCAAGAAATGGATTCAAACATTAACCCCTAAGAAATTATTCTTTGGTTCCTTACTTAAACTACTTAGCTGAAAACTTTAGAATGGTGGATATCGGGATTAATGCTTAATCCACTCTTTTTCTTAATCTCGAGATTAAATATAGCTTGTTCTCCTCTCATTTTTAATCTCCAGATTAATTATCCGATCAGGATTAAGGATATCTCATTCAAAAGTTTTCAGTTCAGATCGTTAATTATAATATTTTAGAGGAATGTACTTCGGTCTGTACGATACCTTGAAGCCTATGCTCCTTGGAGCTGAGGCCGGAGTTGGATCTTCCTTCCTCCTTGGATGGGCTGTTACCATCACTGCTGGACTTCTCTCATACCCCATTGGTAAGTTTGAACTATGGCTGGAAAGAGATATGGAAATATCTGAAAATCTGCATCTCTGCAAGTCTACTGCAATTTTTTAAGCTTTTCATTTGGTAGATTATCATTACCGACCATTCACCTTCGCAGAGAATTTAGACTTGATCGTTAAACCCTTAGTATTTATTCCTGTTTCATATTAAATGTTAAATAACTTTTTTTCTATTAGACACCGTCAGAAGGCGTATGATGATGACCTCCGGAGCTGCCGTTAAGTACAAGTCCTCCCTTGACTGTGCTGGACAGGTTATCAAGAATGAAGGATTCATGTCCCTAATGAAGGGTGCTGGAGCTAACATCCTCAGAGGAGTTGCTGGTGCCGGTGTCCTCGCTGGATTCGACAAGTTCAAGGCTGTCTACATCGCATGGAGAGTCAACCAATAATTTCCTCAACAGTTCCCACGTCCTTAAAATCCTTTTCAATCCTCACGTCCTTGTCGCTCTTGTGGAGTAAGAATCTACAGAGTGTCTTAGAGAATTGTTTCCGGTTGGAACACGATTCCTTGACACCCTGTATCGGGTTCTGTCTGTTATAAGTTGACATGAATATTTAATGTCAGAAATGTAGTTTCTCAGTGAATAAAGCGCAGATGACTTTGTAACTATCATTGTTTAAGTGAGTCTAGAGATAATATACTAATACGTTGGCGTTATATTTAGATAGAACCTATTAACTTTTAAACATGCACAAACTAGGGGTTCTATTGCAGCGATAGAAACGAAATTATCGGATTTAGTTTGGACTTCATTATATATTGCCAACGATGACAATTGAAGGTATTAATAAATTGCTGAATTAGATGGACTTCTTAGACATCCTTAAAAGTAATGTTCAAAATTTAGTACACTATTTTGTCGATAATTAGGTAGTCCTGACTTCAATCACGAACACTATGATTACCTTTTATAGAAGCTGGGTTATCGGTTTCTTAAATTTATTTGCTCACTTAAAGGACTTTTTTCTTTGATAAATGAATTTCTTAATCATTTAGCCATAGGTACAACTATAGGTCGTATCTATCTATCTATCTATCTATCTACACTACTCTGGTAAAGCGTAACCATAGTGTGACTGTGGTTCTACCTATGGTAGAACGTCTAAGAAATTGGCCTAAACAAAGAAATTTTTGTAGATACACAATCTTCTTCCTGGACTTACAAATTCTAAACCTCCTTCTGAGCATCTATGAACCTATCCTGGGTCTCCTGGGTTAATGTGAGGTCTTACACAATTTAGACCCGGTCAGTTCAGGCGTTTCTACATTTTTTTATGTAAGCAGACTCGCAGTTCAGATTTGGGTTTTGTGATCAATAAATTATTTAGAATGTAGAAATCGTAGAAAGCAGCGCGAGACAGGGAAGACTTGAAATACATTAATTTTAAAAATAGTTCATTTTAGCTTAAAATTCCCAAAGGAATTGTGGAAGGGTTTAAAACAAATTTTTAAATCATGTTTGAATGAACAATTTAGATACCGTTAGATAAGCAATCAAATGAAAAAAAATTGAATTATTTTAAATCGTTCGTTTTTGTTTTGATTTCTGTAGATGAGATCTGATCATTTGTTGGTTTCTCTGAATCCTCTGAACGACGGCATTTGTACACGAAAAAGCTCGTCTATTTGAAATATTTCGTTCGTTATGAAAACTGTCCATCTCGACCTGCAGAGATAATATCTATATTATAAAAATATTTTTGATAAAAATTTAGAAAATATATCTGTTCTGTTCTGCAGGCGTTTTTAAGACTGTTTATCAACACTCCTTTGACAAATATTAGCTTAACAAAAATCAAAAACAAATTGTATCTCCAGTCCAGTGTTCCCAGTGTCTTATTAGTCTAATGTACTGAAAAACAAACTTACTTATGATCATCCATTTTATTTATCTATCAAAAAGATCAATTAAGAAGATTTTAGATATCTACTGAAACTTAAAATTGTTAGCATGGTTTCTATCTACTTATTGCTTATTTTAGACCAATTTTTAACAATTTTGCTCGAGGTTTGTAAAAATTAGTTCTTTTTTTTGTACTGTTGAATGTTGATATTTGTAATAATGTACACATGTATACAATTCATATCAGAGTGAGTCAAAAAAGTGTGATTTGCGGCGCCTGGTGCAAAATTGTACTTTTTTGTGCAACTCTCCGGTATGGTTTTTTTTCAATATTTTTTTTGGAAAATTTGTGATTTTTTTGGTACTCCATTGGCCCAAAAGAAAATCCGCGAACTTTTTTTTCTTTCAAAATCAAAAGTTCAGAAAAGCAAAAATGTGTATATAAATTGTTTCTATCAAAATCTAAAATTTTAAAAAGATTGAATCACAGAAAATTCGAAGAAAATTAGCAATTTTTAGTTCTGGTCTAATTTTTAAGTAAAAGTTATTTAAATTCTCTAGTTCCTTTCTTCTTAGTATATTCTAAAGTAATAAATATACGCTGTCCAGTTGAAACTTTAAGAACCATTGAAAAACAATATTTCCGTAAAAAATATACCAGAACTAAAAATTGCGAATTTTCTAATTAAAATTTTGCAAATTATCTGAGATTCTGTGATTCAATCTTTTTAGAATTTTAGATTTCGATAGAAACAATTTATGTACACATTTTTGTTTTTCTGAATTTTTGATTTTGGAGAAAAAAAGGTTCGCGGATTTTTTTTTCGGCCATTGTAGTACCAAAAAAGTTACTAATTTAAAAATATTGAAAAAAACACCATACAGGAGAGTTGCACATAAATGGGTACAATTTTGCACCAGGCGCCGCAAATCACACTTTTTTTTGACTCACCCTGTATATTAGGCTTCCATTTAAACTTTTAATTGTTGCTCTCATCTTAATTGTAAAGCGAAAACAACAAAATTATGCCGAATTTATCTGGGCAATTTTTCGTGGATTTTTAAAAAATCAAATTTTTTAAATTTTGACCATCCATAAAACTTCCATGGGTCTGTGTCCCACAAATTATTTGAGACGGATCTGTTCCTCCATGTTTACGTTTATTGGATTCAAACAAACAAATAAGCAAAGTATTTTTTAATATATATTTAGTGATATTAATTCTAATGAAAAGGTTCGTAAATAGGTTCACACCATCCAGCATGTAGTTGACCAGGGGGGAAGTGGTGACTAGGTAGTCCTGCAGGATCCTGGGGAAGGTGGAGAGGAGGAACTGCAGCATCAAGATGATATTCCAACCGAACCCTCAACAATAAACAATGAAGGGATGCTATGCAATATAATTTAAGAAAACTTAATTTTCATTTGTCAATTATTCTCTTAAACCCAAGGAATGAGGTTACAGTATATTTACTTAAGCTTTTCTAGTATACCAGAATACTGAGGATACAGTATACTTACTTGAGATCCTCTATTTTACCAGTATACTAAGGATACAGTTTACTTACTTGAGCTCCCCCTAGTGTACCAGAATACTGAGGATACAGTATACTTACTTGAGCTCCTCTAGTATACCAGAATACTGAGGATACAGTATATTTACTTGAGCTCCTCTAGTATACCAGAATACTGAGCATACAGTATACTTACTTGAGATCCACTAGTATACCAGTATACTGAGGATAAAGTTTACTTACTTGAGCTCCCCTTAGTGTACCAGAATACTGAGGATACAGTATACTTACTTGAGCTCCTCTAGTTTACCAGAATACTGAGGATACAGTATACTTACTTGAGCTCCTCTAGTATACCAGTATACTGAGGATACAGTATACTTACTTGAGCTCCTCTAATACCAGAATACTGTGGATACAGTAAACTTACTTCAGCTCCTCTAGTACACCAGAATACTGAGGGTATACAGTATACTTACTTTAGCTCCTCTAGTATACCAGAGTACTGATGGTATACAGTATACTTACTTGAGCTCCTCTAGTATACCAGAATACTTAGGATACTGCAGTTATGCTTACTTGAGCTCCTCTAGTATACTAGAATACTGAAGATACAGTATACTTACTTGAGCTCCTCTAGTATACCAGAGTACTGAGGGTATACAGTATACTTACTTGAGCTCCTCTAGTATACCAGAATACTGAGGTTACAGTATACTTACTTGAGCTCCTCTAGTATACCAGAATACTGAAGATTCAGTATACTTATTTGAGCTCCTCTAGTATACCAGAATACTGAGGTTACAGTATACTTACTTGAGCTCCTCTAGTATACCAGAATACTGAAGATACAGTATACTTACTTGAGCTCCTCTAGTATACCAGAGGACTGAGGGTATACAGTTTACTTACTTGAGCTCCTCTAGTATACCAGAGTACTGAGGATATAGAATACTTACTTGAGCTCCTCCAGTATACCAGAATACTGAGAATACAGTATACTTACTTGAGCTCCTCTAGTATACCTGAATACTGAGGGTACAGTATACTTATTTAAGCTCCTCTAGTATACCAGAGTACTGAGGGTATACAGTATACTTACTTGAGCTCCTCTAGTATACCAGAATACTGAGGGTATACAGTATATTTACTTAAGCTCCTCTAGTATACCAGAGTACTGAGGATACAGTATACTTACTTGAGCTCCTCTAGATACCAGAGTACTGAGGGTACAGTTTACTTACTTGAGTTCCTCTAAAGTATACCAGAANCTAGTATACCAGAATACTGAGGATACAGAATACTTACTTAAGCTCCTCTAGTATACCAGAATACTGAGGATCTGATGAAAGATCTTGACTCTCTGAAGGATCATCTACTAGATTGTATAAAAGTTCTCTGAAAAAAAAAATATGTTTTCCAGAACTAATAAATAACAGAAAATTTTAAATGAGCAGATAATCAGATAGATTTTAAAATAATAGTAATTTAAAATACTGCATGCTCATCTTCAAAAGAGAGCCTCCTTTAATAGGAAATTAGGATAAAGGTTGTTGAATATAGATTATAAAAACACAGAAACATGCCTGGTTGGTTGAGCACAACTTGGTTAGTTTTCTACCTTTTAAGTTTTTTTTATTGTTAGAGAATCAACAAAAATCTGAGAAGCTCTACTTTCAAAATTTTTAAAATTTTCAACTCTTTGTTTTTCTTACCCTTGGCTAAATTTTAAAAGAAGATTCATACAAAGAACGAATGAAAATAACCGCTTTTTGATAAGTTTCTTCCTTATATTTGTTAAGGATAAAAATGTTATGTAGTTTAATACAGGGGAAGAAAGTTCTGAGTGTCAGGTTTGGGCGCAAATTTTATGATTAACGTTTTAGTAACTCTTCCTGCAGCCAAGAGAAAATATCAATCAGAAAAACTATTTCCAACATATTATTAGACACAAAGATAAATACAACTAATACTATTTCCTTATTTTCTCAAACTAAAACAATTAACGCAGCCCGGATACCATTTTCGAAACAGTTCAAGGTTTTTCATTTTCGCACATATCACGAATTAGAATCTTGGGCGCGTTTTGGAACATAAACAAACTTTGATACATTCCATAATTTGAAAACTTACATTCATAATTTACAGCAAAGCATGAATAACTGCAAATATTTTTATCTTTCAAATTATCTTTAAAATAAAACTGTCTCCACATTATACTTTTTAATACGGAGAGTAAAGATGATTTCAAGTTATCTCAATTCTAAATAAAATTTTCCCGCATTTTTCTTTTCAATTTAATTGAAATTCAATATCAATATTATAATTTTCAATGTTAGAAGTAGTTCTATTTTGAAATATTTGAACAGAATGTATTATTTATATTTCTATTGTTTCATTAATTGAATTCTATAACCGTATTCGAAAAACTTGTGTTGTTATCAAAAAGTGTAAAATGCTTGAAAATTATTATATTGGTTCAAATTTGTGAAATGTCTCAAACTCATGACATGTTCCAAAAAACGTTTCTAAAAAGTTATTGTTACCTATCAATACTTGTGTTTCCACCATACGTCTCATTATAGTTCCTAGAACATCCTATCACAGTACTGCACCCAACAAGAAGCTTCCAATCCTAAATTTTAAAATTTATTTTTCATAATTAATAATCAATTTGGAATTAATCCGTTTGTCGAGTGTTGGGGTGTGATAATGGAAAAATTGAAAACATTGCTTAAATTAACTGTCTATATAAGCTCACTTTTTTCGAGAATAATTTATAATAATATTAATGATTGTACAATTAAAATTGTTTAAAATTTAATATGTCTGCACACCAAGGTGACGAAGGTAGACTTAATTAATTTTGGAAAGCGTGCATAAATTATTTTATAAACTTTCTGAAATTGTGTATTTATTTATTTACCTTATATCTAATCCCAGCTCCAAATGATCCTCCCAGTTCAAAATTAGCCGGGAAGTTATTGTTGACATAAATGGTATGATTTGTAGATTGAAAATTCGCAATATCGTAGAGTATTTCATCTCTTGGGGACACTCCTCCTAATATAACATTTCAAATTTTGTGAATAGATTTTATTTACTTGTAACCACATTTAGTTTCTTTCCTCATTTCAACTCAAATTAGTTTGTGTACCCCACCTTTATTGTGTCGCGGCTGGACCCTTGCTATTTGTTTCTGTTTTTTATTCTTAAAAATTCACAGACTTTATCTTCAAGACTTCCATAGTCAATGTTTTAAGATCAATTTTGGATGAAGATTTAACATTTGTGAATGTACAGGGTTACCCACAAAGGATAAGACTTTAAAGACGACCTAAAGCTCTTTAAATCTGACGATTGAAATAAGTTTTTGTTTTAAAGGAATTGAGTCTTTGTCACGAACTTTGAATTTATAATCCCTATCTTTGGATTCCGATGTCGCAAATCTTTGATATTTCAAACTTACATTATTTGATCTAATAGAATTCATGGTTTGAAATATCTAACATTGGAATCCAAAGGTATAGGGTTTAGAAAAGCAGAGTTTGTGGCAAAGATTCAATTCCTTTAAGTTGTTTTATTAGGGCATTGACACTCTAAACAGTTCAACTTAGTATCACTATTGTTATATGTTGTTAAAAGGTAGGTTGTATCCAGCAAAATTTGACGAATGCTGCTACTAAGTTAAATTTGGCTCTGATGCTTCAACAAATTTTTTTAGATGAAAATTTGACATTTCTTAGAACGTGTATAGACAAAGAAAGAAACAAGTTTTAAGGAATCATAAATATCAAGAAACAGACATTATAAATTCTGTACAGTCGTTTCTGAAGTCTCGTCCTTTGTGACATTCTTCAAATCTGATTTATGTCCAAGGGAATCATATACATAAATTCAGTACAAATTCTGTACAGTCGTCTCTGAAGTTTTATCCTTTGTGGGTAACCCTGTATATCATTATTAACATTCTTCAAATCTGATTTAAGAATGTTCAATGGTGGAACCATGTTATTTTTAAAAAAGATAATTTTAGTAAAATACATGTAATTTATATTTGATTATAAATCGAAATAAAAAATAGTGAAATGTTTATATTTCCTGTTTGATTTGAAATGAGATCTATTTGATTGAATCCGTTAATATCATCCGGCAGAGCAGATTCATCACCACCAGCCAATCCTTAATAAAACAGTCAAACACTATCAAAGGATAGTTTAACCAAATGAAATACAGATAAAAATACCTAATTTTTAAATAACTAGGATCACCTCAACTTTACACGATAAACATTGTCCTCATGGGGAATAAAGGAAAGTTGCAGAAAATTGTGAAAATTTGGGTGAAAATTAGCTCTCGTTGGAACTTGTTTAGTGTTTCGAAAAATATTGCAAGTTAACGCCGGAGACTCGACAGAGGGTTTTAGATCACCAGGCCAAAATATGAACCAAATCCTTGAAAAATTATCTTTGGCCAACTGGCTAAAAGTATGCATTATCCCAACAACAACTAAGTATATTTGGTGATATTTTGTTATGTGACTTCAAGAACAGCTTAATTATGTGCTTATTTCCTGCAGCTAACTCACTATTATTCCTGCAAACTTAAGGAGACTAGTAAGTGACCCTATATAGATTCACAACAGTTCCCTTTCAACCTTTATATGATCATTGACGACAGAGATATCCTTATATTCGTCTAACTTACTATTGACTATACTCATGGTTTTAGAATTGCGCTCAATTGTAATTTAAAAAGGGATATATCCGTCTCATAGAAAGGTTTAAAGGGTTACCTTTGTAAACTGAACATGCAACTCTACAAATGGTATGGGTCACCGGAAATTATTTCTCATTAACCTCT